GGCAACAAGTCCATCTCTTCTCCAAAGCACTGAGTGGCATCAATTCCACATCTGACCAGCACTATCCACCACCCCATGAAGGTATCCCTCAACTCTACCTCTGCTGCTGCCACTGCCACCACCACTTGCCCACCCATTGCTGGGGTGTTACATGTGCACTAAGTAGTGGCATAATTATATGTTGTTTGCCTGATGCATGTAGGGCCTCTGGCCTGAATTAGTCATTGTGATTCTACAAAAACACATGGTACCAGCCTCTGTCATCATCCATCCTTGCACATGACACACAACCAAACAGTTGCAGCAGGTGGGTAAAAGGGAGGAGCATGCATACCAGAATTCACATGATGGCTACAATGTCATGGGGGGGGGGCCGAGGCAAATTGGGCAGAGCAGCATGGATTTGGCACAAAGTCCAACAAGCACATGCCAGAAATTTTTGAGAATGGTTGCCCTGTTTTTTCTGGACACTGAAACTGCAAACTAGTGCAGGTGATTGCAGCCTGAACCTGAGCACTGTTCACAAGCCCCATTCCTTAGTACCACCACTTTTTCTCAGTTTGTGTGCATGTCATGTGATCATGTGTGCCATGCAACAGACAACTGACACTGGTGGTGGTGGTTGGTGCCACTACTGGAGCATGGCACAGAACAGACTGCCAGCAGCCCTGTGCTGCCCCTGTGTGCCCATTGCACACCACAACCCAAGCCACAATGCACTACTCACTTCAAGTCTTGACACCTCCCAACTGACTCCTTGACACCACAGCTCACTGCTCCACTGGTGAGAAAAAAAGATCACATTTTTTCCACCTCTACAGCAGACTTGAGGTGGTCAACTGCCTCACAGAGTGGATCAGTGTCAAGTCCACCTCAAGGTGCACTCAAGGTGGACATGACAATGGAACATCATTCATCTTCTGTCCACCAAGGTGACCCCCAAGGTGGACTTGAAGATGGGATGTTCCATCTTTTGTCCATCAAGGCGAGCTGGTCCAGCTCCAGGTCACCTGAAAAGGGTGGAAAAGGGTGGAATTGAGTGTCAAGGTGCGCAAAATCATCACTTTCCTGTCTACTGTCCTGGCAGTGTGAGGAAGTATTTGACCAACTTCTCTTAGTCAAGGTTTGGGTTGTGTGTGGTGGGCCTTTTTGAAATTCCTTCATTTGCTGCCCCTGGCCAAGCAGAGGAGATGCAGTTATTTAAAGCATGTGAATATATATATATTCACCACAGAATCTTCTTGCCTCTGTGGAATTTCACCAGGGGTGGCCATGGACTTCCAGAACAGCAGCAGCAGCATCACCATGGCCTACTACATCATCTTCAATATCACTTGTCAAAGGTGAGTGTGGGCTGGCCAGCTCCTGGCCAACAGCACCCACTGTGCCTGATCATGTCCAACATCACCAATGAAGGAGGCTTCTGGCTGCCAGAAGCCACCATGCACATGGTCTTCTCCTCCTGCATGCTTGACAGAGCAGCAGCAGCAGCAGCACATGAGGTAACCCTCCCTGCCCACCCACCCACCCACCCACCTGCTAAGTCACCCCACTGCCACCACCACTGCAATCAGCTCCTTGACCAACCATTGCCTGCACCAGCACGCCACCACTGGGCAGGAGCAGCTTTCTGTTGACAGCAGTGGGAGGTTTTTGTGGCATCTCTGTTTTTTTGAACAAAATTTGTTGTTCTTCATTTTTGCAGATGATTTTTATGCACCCATTTTGCAGATGACAGATGATTTTTTTAATGACCAACAACAGATGATTTTTGTAGCCATTTTTGCAGATGACAGATGATTTTTGAATGCAGATGACAGATGATTTTAATGACCAACAACAGATGATTTTGTATCTATTTTGCAGACAACAGATGATTTTGTAGCCATTTTGTGGATGACAGATGATTTTTATGTGCATTTGGCAGACAACAACAGATGATTTTGATAACCATCATTTTAATGCAGATGACAGATGATTTTAATGCAGATGACAGATGATTTTAATGTGCCCATTTCAGAGATGATATTACAGATGATTTTTGTAGCCACCCATTTCAGAGATGATATTACTGATGAATTTTGTTGTTGGGCCAACTTGCACAGACAAAACAACTTACCCCTCCCCAATGTAAGGGAAGATCTGATTGTGATTTGCTGCCATATATTTTAGTTGAAAAAAAAATGATGCTCTTGTTAGTTTTTCAGAGTGCTGTCCCCATACAGCAAAGAAAATACCTTGCAGAGCCTCCTTCTTTTGAGTCCAAATATTATTATGCCAAAATTGTAAATATATATATATATATTAGTATTATAATTTCTGTAGACAGCACTCTGCAGTGTTAATCTTTATCAGTGTTTAACAATCATCACATGTTTGCAGTGTGGTGTGCAGGCTGACCAAGTGAAGAGAACACACACAGTAGCAGGCAATGATGTACACATCATGGCCTCCTACATCTATTTGAGAGAAAGCCCCCAAAAGCAGGACCTGATGGTCATCCTTGAAGGAGTTGGACCCAGTGAAG